TTTGAAAATGTTTAAGACTAAATTGATTCAATTAAAAGGTTTAGTATTGAATTGGTACAAATACAATAAATTTGAAACTTTTTCGATACTTTTCCCATTAAATACCTTTGGACAACAATCTTTCCCGATCAAAATCAAGAGCCCTTGCAAAACATAAAGTTCTTGATTTTTCGAACCGGGTCCGTAAAATCTAGGGGTGCACAACCGTATGCATATCCCCATGGGATCGACATGTTCGTTTTCATTTACAAATGCCTTGTTAAAACTAGATGAAAGTAGTGAAAGGATGCTCGAGTAATGGGTATGATTCGTTCTTTTACTTTAACAAGCGTCGACCTAAGTATGTGTGAGTACCTGTTGACATCAAAAACTTTCCCTAATGTTAGAGTCGGGAGACCTACCCAATAACGACTCGTGAGACCAACCATGGAAGCAGAAATGGCTGAGTGTCGAGGATGATCGGTCGGTAAGATGCAGTCCCTCGATAAGGGTGTCCAACTCTTAACCGACAGGGATTTGTCAATGGCGCGACTAAGAAATCGAGAACCAGTATGAAAAAGTACAAAGCATAACCGCCAAAGGAAGTGGGCACGATGCAATCATCAAAGGAGTAGAGGCAAAGCAACCATCATTTAGTGAGATTAACACAACCGTTCAATAGTGAAGTAGATCTCAGATGCAGTTAAGGAAGATGATAACCATTGAAGAAGAGGGGCCAGTGCAATTGAAGCATAGTCGAAAATTTCGAGAATAATTGTTTGAAGACATGTAGTGCTGGATTGTCGAGCTCATGTGTACTTCCTGTAGTTTCTTTTAGGGCCTATTTGGTAACATTTTTGTTTTTCTATTTTTCTGTTATTTTGTTTCTTGGAATAGAAAAAGAACGGAAATCCATTTGGTAACATTAGTTAAATTTTCTATTCCCCAATATAAAAAAGTGGCCAGTAATATATTTGAAACAGAAATAAGAAGTAAAAAAAATCTACTTTTTCGTTTCTGGAACAAAAGGAGAAATAAGATCAGCTCTCTCTTTCAAAAGATATTCCCATACCCTAAACCTCAAAACCTAAACCCTAATTCCTAAATCTTAACCCCAAAACCCTAAACCTCAATACCCAAACCCTAAAACCCATAACACTAATATCAAAAACCATAAACCTGAAACTCTAAACCCTTAAACTTTAAATCCAAAACCCAAATCCCTAAACCCTTGAACCCCAAATCCTATACCCAAAACCCAAACTCTAAACCCCAAAACTCCAACCCTAAAATCTAAACCCAAAAACAGTAATTCCAAACCCTATGCCCTAAAACATTAAATCGCAAAACCCTGCATCCTAAACCATAAACCCCAAACCCTAAACTCTAAACTCTAAACCCCATACCCCAAATCCCTAATCCTAAACCCCAATACCTACAACCCGAATCCCTAAAATCCTAAACCCTAAACCACTAAACCCAAACCCTAAAACCCCAAACCCAAAACTCTAAAATATAAACCCCAAACCCTAACCCTAAACCCTAAAATCCAAAACCTCAACCCTAAAACCCCACACCCGAAACCCCAAAATCGAAATCCTAAAACCCTAACCCCTAACTCCAAATCCTAAAATCCTAAACCCTAACTGCAATTTTTTCTACTACCATCTGGTATTTGTTTTGTCAATAAAGAGTAATTTTTTTTATGGTTGTATTAAGATCATCTAATTCTATATCATAATATATTCTTATTCTATTTCTAGTCCAATTTTATATAAACATGATTGTTAAGTCTCCCTGATATTTTTATAATTAAATGAAAAAATTGGAAGTAGAAATTTTTAGGGTCATGCCAAACGCATTTTTGTTCTTTTTCTACTCCGAAAATAGAAATTTTGTATAGTTGCAAAATGGTTGTTCTACTAAAAAACTTGGCTAGAAAATAGAAATAGAAAAAACTATTTCTGAACAAAAAAGTTACCAAACAAACCCAGCAACTGTTGTTAACTATCAATTGTAGGTGTAAATACTTGAATTGTAGACTGCCAATCAATCAAAGAACATCCAGTTGCTAATCTCAGTTTATCTTACAGTTTCAGTACTTTACATGGTGTCAACGATTGTTCTCAATTTCGATACCTTTATTTTTCGTGTCGTTTATATTTCTTGTCCAATAATCAACAAAAGACCCTTCATAACCTTTATGGGTTCGGATCAATCCATCCGTATTTCGAAAGGCATTTCGTCGTCACTTTTCGGTAAAATAGTATCAATGGAGAAATGAAATGTTTTGTAGGTGCTTAAGGAGCTGAAGAAAATAATATTTGGTAAAAAAGACTAAAGCAAGATTACCATAGAAGATGTCTCTCTTGTTTAACTTTAGTCACCGCATGCCAAAGTATAAGCCAACCATTTGACAAAAAAAGCTTTGTTAACGTTAAATATTTAAATATTAAACTACACTTTTTAAACTTTTAGAACGGTTAATAGTTATCGTATAAAATTTTACATGATATTAGGACTCTTGCTATTTAAGGAAACATTCATCAAATCCTTTATAAGGTCCTCCTAGCAAAGTTACGCTAGCTGCACCGCTGTCGTATTTTTCAGGAACCCACCGCTCTGTTATGGCATTTTTCTTTGCTTGATTTGAAAAACACACATTATCAGTGGACTCATTGCTCTCGGACCAAATCTTGAAATTTCGTTGACCCACTGTTGCACGAGCCCTCACGCACCACCACACGCCGCGTCCCTTCGAATCCAAGTACTTAAATGCCTGTGAACACTTGGCAGTGGTTCCATAAAACTTTACATACTAACAGAGTAGAATTTCCTGAGTTCAGATCTTTTCACGCACTCTATTTACATACCTTATTGTATATTTCTACTATTGGTTTTGAGTCAAAGTTCGACCTACGCATGAAGAAGAGTATTATAATATTAATATTCTAATAAGTAAAGATTTAAAAGAAAAAAAAAAGTCGATCGTAGAAGATGTGAGAATATATTTTCACTGGTCATACCAAGATGCTAACATATTATAGAAAGCACCGTCTTATGCCTGTAAAAGATGGCAGTTGATGGTAGCTGTACCTAGCACGTCTAGGGCATGCTAACCTCAAGCGAATGCCAAAGCTATCAAACAAGGATCTTGTGTGGGCTTCCCAAGATCGTATCAACAAAGGATAGCATATTTGAGGCATGTACTTTAGGTAAGCACATCAAAAGCTTGTATAACATGTATTTATTTGAGTGAAAGAACTTTCTGCGAGTTAGTTTCTTGAACTTTCATGTATTTGATTTGCTGAAAATGATTGGTCAATGGAAAATCATTTACAATCAAAGAAAATATGCCTACTTAAAATTAGGAAAATGAATTTCCTAACATGAAAAGGGGAAAGCATTATCCTGGAAACTGATTCTCCGGCAAGTATTTTTCTTTATCACGATGTTTTGCCTCCGAAACAAACACATCTTAAAATTGAAAACTATTGTGTCCATTGACCATGCATTGTAGATCCTACGCGTAGATAATGGGTGCGAATCTTGGTGGCACAGGGATAGGCACTGAAAATCCTTAGATGACTATACAGGTTCACGCGAGTAAACTTTGTGACTTGCGAGCATAAAGTATCTCATACTTTTATTTAGACACGTGAAAAATATGAAACATTAACAAAATAAAAGTCTCAATCATACAATAGAAGTTCAGATTAGTGGCTTCAAATTATACACTAATCATCGGACGCCATAGAATATCGTAGGATCACGCAAAGATATAGACTAAGAAAAACATAGGTCCTAAGTTCCACTTACCTAGAACTTAAAATTTACCCGTCGAAATATATTCCCCAATTTTTGAATTCTGAAACCTACCTTGCATATTTTGAAACTTGAAATCAGTCAGGCTCTTACCGGTCCACTTCTTAGGTTCTAGGTTCTACCTGAGAATCATGCTCACTCCTAGCTTCACCTTCTTTTTCCACACCAATCAAATTCTTTCCCTCACCTCAAATTTTTTCTTCTTCATTTTCCATACCTATCGGTAAAAATTTTCCAAACTTAGTACATGTCGGACCAACATTTTCCCCCCTTTTTTTAATAGGTGTAATCGAAATCCTAAAACTTACTAAAAAATTGTAATCAAATCCAAAAACTTTTAATTTATGCAATCAAATATCTTCGTTAGCTCCATTTAATTTGATTGGCATAAAATGCCGACGAAACTGTTTTCTTATCACTTTTTCTTTCCTACAAATAAGAAATATGCCGAAAAGAGAAATGTGGAACTTCCGTATCAAACAGTGAAGAGTATATAAACCTATCTAAAAGTTTATCAAATGATTATCTACGGTAACATATCAATCAACGATGTATACAATCAAATGGAGATACATGGGCAATTTTATCAAATACGAAGAATCAAGTGAAAATAATCTTTAACATAGGAAAATATCTTTAAAAAAAATATCTCTAACACCTACGTAGCCATCATGACGATAAAGAGTGCAACAACGACCCAAAAACGATGCCGTTTCTTGCTCCCCGAAGGGTTAAGGGCTCGAAGACCCTCGCTAGGGATGCAAGTAAAATGGCCTACGCTAGATGCCGTATAAGCATATTTTTTCTCGAGGAAAATATACTAATTGATATTATCGCCCGTTATAAAATTTCGCGTCTCTTCTCAGGTCATTTCAAAGGCGAGGTTAATTTATCCTAAATAGTAATTTTTCGTGGATATATTTTTCATCTCAAAGCAAAAACGTTCGTGCCCTTCTTTTTTGGGGCAGGTCGTTTGGAAACCGAAGGTACTCTTGCCCTAAAAATTCGGGTCGCCGTTGAGGATTCGCTATAGAGAGACGGCGGTGTAGAAAAGAAGCTCGACGGGCAAAACCGGTGCGTTTCGAACCAGAGCGGCTTCCCGAAAAAGGAAAAAAAAAAGGAAGAGAAAAAAAAAAGGAAAAAAAGAAAAAGGAAAGAAAAAGGGCAAAACTTCGATTCGCACTTGCCGTCTCTCCCTCTCTCCCTCTTCCTCTCCCTCTCCGCCACCAGCGCCGCTCTGGCACGGCGACGGCGGCGGCGACGACGGCGGCGGCGGCGACGCCTCTCCTGCTCCCCTCTCCTCCTTCTTCATCTTCTTCCTTTCCTTGTGTCTGCCAATAGAAGTCTCTCTCTCTCTCTCTCTCTGTCTAGCGGGCTCTGCGATTGGCCGGTGTTTTATGGTCTCGGGTGATTCCTCTCTTCCCGGACGCTCGCCGGAGTTCGTTCGCTACGTTCGTCTTCGCCGGTCGCCCGCTGCGGCCCGTTGAGTCGTCGCTCAATTTCAGGAGGTTGCTCGCCGGAGCGGGGTCCGTCGGGAGCGAGCGTGCCGTTGGATTGAGACGGTGAGTCCGCCGCGCCCCCGCGCCGATCGGAGTCTCTTCTCGAGTGTCGCTACGCTTGTGCGGTTTGAGGTTTTCCGTCCGTCTGTCGTCCGTTTGGTTTCCATTTAGCGGTGTTGGGATCGTCGGAACTGTTAAATTTTTTCCTTAAACATGGGCGGAGACATCCGGTTACGACTTATATTTGCCTGGGATGCTCAGTTTTTGTTCTGGCTTTCTGGGTTTCTGTGTCGACGTGATTTGTGTTTTCTGACAGGTTTGATTCTGCGAATGTGTGCTGTGGGTACTGTGTTGTGTTTATTCTATAGTTGCGGGAACAATTATGAGCTGGCGACTTGGTTTCCTTGACAGTGGCGATTAAGTGGTGCAGGTTACATCTGATTGAATGTGCTGTACGAGTTGTTAAATTATTAGAAGGGTCTTTCCCATCATTTTCTTTGGTGTCGGATATATGTTTGGAGCATGATTTGTTTCGCGGGTGCGAGTTTGTGTCAGATTATACCATCTGGTCTTAAATGTCATGTTCCTATTTCTCTCCATCAATTGGGGGCTAAACAGGCGATGTAGGCGATGTTCGAGATATGATTTTCAAGTCCTGGAGATCCAAAAAAATGGAATGCAGTTTCAACATATAATTGGACATTATGCTTGCTGAAGAGAAATTTTCGTCTCTCATCCGTTAATTTATTTGTCGTATCAAAGCCAATGAATCAGTCTTTTGTTCTCTCTTTCAGGCCTTATTCAGATGTGTGAATAATTTGTCCCAGCACTTTTGTGGCTGATAAAATGAACCCGCGAACTGCTGTGGTGTCTAGAACACAGAAATCGAACGGTCTTCAGCGAGAAGGTCCAAATTGGGTTCTTATTGCTGGTGGTGCCTTGTTAAGCACATTGTCATTTCGGCTTGGTTACAAGCTGAAACAAGCAATTGACACAAAGCAGCCTGATGATTCTGGTAATTCTTGTGAAAATCTGGTGTTTTTTTCCTCAAATTTAGGAGTGTTCTTATTCTTAACATGGGTCTTACTTCCGAGGATGCTTATGTTCAGGAAATGGAAAATCTACGGACAGGAGAAAGCAACCCGCTTCTCGTCTGCATTCAAATATGTATTCCTATATGCAAGGCGATGATGGCTGTTTTAATTGCTTCCCAGGTCTGATTTATGTACTCTCCTTCTATGTGAGTTCTAATACAGTTAAAATATATTGACCGGGAAACTCTAGTGATGCATGATCATTTGCCATAGTACTTGTACTCTCTAATGAGGCAAGAGCGTGCGAAGCTTTATCAAGTTATTTATACCTACCTTAGGCGTAGCCACTTCAATATGGGTTCCTCAAAAAAGAGATAACAAAATGAGCAGCAGAACAGCTCTTTGTTCCTTTATATATGGGTGGCTAGAGAATTGATGGGTTTACAAGTAAACTAACAGGTGTCAGGATCCTTGCTCGTATCTCTTTTATCATTGGGCTCTGAGGAAGATTTTCATTACCTTTATATCTCATGATCCCTTCAAGATCATATCTCTCTGTGGCTTCCCATGTTACCTAAGGAACCAAGCTTGTGTCCCACAGGTTTGTTCTCGAGTTGATACGGCCTTTATGAGCCTATATCTTTGGGTTTGTCAGATAAAACTTAAACTTTGATGGTGGTAAAATGTAAATTAAAATCTCCACTGATGAAGACAACATCTGAACAATCTTACCTTATAATTGACCTTGAAGTGATGGATTGAGAGAAGAAATTCTCGGCCAGTGGAACTATATATAGGTTTTTACTAGTAAAATTGTCAAGCATCCTTGGATATAGCTTTGACAGATGAAGGAATTAGCCGGTAAATTTGTTTATTCTTTTAATTCTGCAAATATCAAGAGACTTGTACAAATAAAATGTTCAATTTGTCAGATGGAGAAATTGATCTTTTGATGATAAAGAATGAACTTTCTTCTAACAATTTATGGAGCTAACAGATGCCTTTTAACAGTCACACTCTTCTCAATAATAGTTTCCATTTAGGGAATTCATTCTATAGAGCATGATGGGCTATAGACACTATCTCAAAAAAACAATTTCATGCCTAAGCTTTTCAAGCAGAGAATCTCATGAAGTGATCAGGAGGTACAATTGACTTCTCAAAGATTTCTGGCATGGGGCTCGCTCTTCCCCTTCTCCGTTCCTCTTTAGTTGAACAAGGTCAATGAATGTTGGGGATCGGATAATACTGCATTTCTTTTTGTCTATTGCAGATTGAAAAGGTAATATCTGGCATGGCTATGTTCTAAGGTGGTCCGTGCCTCACTTCCTTTTTGTTAAAATTGAACTACCTTTATGGCCTAGGTTAAGTCTCTTAAGTGATGCAGAATACTTTATCCTATGCTGTGAGGATTGAGCTTAGTCAGTCTTTTGCATCAATACTGCTAGATGTATACCCTTTAAATCAGATTGAAGGCTGCGACTTTCCTGCAAAATGCTTGATTAAATTTTCAGATTACATTTTTGAAGCCGAAGAGTCCTATGTCCTGTCTAGAGCCTTACAGCTGCACATCCAGCATTTCTTTCTCGACTAAAACATGTCCATGTAGTAGCATTGAGATGCTATATGCCAGATGTTCAATTTGGGCTGTGCATGTATACTAGGTTTACGGATGTTTTATACATCCCCAATGGTCACTGTTATGAAAACTGTGATCTAACACCTGAGAGATCATGCGATGCAATCTCACAATGCAAGGATGCCTGGACATTTTGACACGTGCTCAAAATTGTTTTTGGTTGGGATTAGTTGAGTGCGGTAATCACCTGGTATGATTGGAATCAGGATAAGCAAGCATGTTTAACAATCCCACAGATAACCTTTTTTGTTTTTTTGGTCAGAACACAGATTATCTATTTCACAAGAAGGAAATGCTTCTCAAAGTAGTAAAACCTGAACTAACGCAAGACAAACTCAAGTCTGTTGACTCTGACTCTGTTGATCCTAATAACAATCTCTATGATGGCCAGAGCTCTCTCTCTCTCTCTCTCTCTCTCTCTCTCTCTCTCTCTCTCTCAACATGCTAACATTACTTGTCAACTAGATATCTACTCCATGTAGAGACTTTCTGGCTTTTGTCATTTTAAGTCGATCCCCACTCTTCTTATTCATTATTGGAATCTCTCAATTCTTTTGCGATTTCTTTCTTCTTTTCTTTTTTCTGGCAAAACGTAATTCCTCTCTGTTTTTGCAAGAGGTAATACAAAAGAGAAGAAACTTAATTATGGCACTATCACCAAAAAAATCCTCCTTTCCCTTCCAGTTGTGTTGTGAAACTGTCATTGGGCTTGATAGGCCTGGGTTTATAGTTGAGTCTCATAGATGCACAATTTCATACCCTTGTGTTATCCTTTTAAATTAAAGTAACTTTTAATAGCTATAAGCTCTTCCAAACACTTGATTCTATAACTCTAGATAATTCGACAACTATTATATATTTTTTTATTATGGTTATCACCTTTAAAAGAGAATCTAGATGATTTTCTTCTTCTTTTTCTGCTCGGTGATACTTGTTCATGTTTTTATTTGAGATAAAGAATCTATCATATGTGTTTCGTGAAGTTTGTAAGATCTTGCAATTTTATAATTTGATCTTACATTCGATTTCATGGACCTTAACCCCATTTTTCTTGGAAAAGCGATTTTGATAACCTTGCTATGGATGAAAAGATACTTTTCCATGCTTTAACAGCATGAGACTTGTTGAGCTGCCGCTTCAGTCTGAACTGAGGCAAAACAAGAAGAAGATCAAGTCGTTTATAGTTTCAGTTGATATATTGCTATCACCATGAATTTGGAAAAATAAAGGGAAGTACTTTGTTGTTGATGCTTAATTTTGGTGTATGCCGCTGTTGTCTCTTCTCCTCCTAACAATGTGCAATCAGGTGTTAACGTAGCATTCTTTAATTGAGCATGAATTTGGAAAAATAAAAGGAAGTACTTTGTTGTTGATGCTTAATTTTGGTGTATGCCGCTGTTGTCTCTTCTCCTCCTAACAATGTGCAATCAGGTGTTAACGTAGCATTCTTTAATTGAGCTTTTGGATGGATAGCACTGGATATCAATAATTATGTCCATACTCTGTATATCTCTGTGTATTGTTCATTAGGATTTGACAACTTTTGTGTAGTTGAAAAGAATAGGAAGATTATCTCATGTTAAGTAGTTGAAGGGGATATAACGATATCTTGTGGAGAGAACAAAAAATGATCCATGTGGTGATCAAATGATTGCTTGTATGTAGTTTACTTGTTTATGCCACAAGCAAAGATGAGAGTAGATGAGTCATCTGTCGAGGCCAGTATCACCTGCTTATTTTTCCACCTCCACTCCTTCCAAAGATATTCGTGAAGTGGACTTGTGAAGTTTTCTTCTTAATTCTTCTGTAATGGGTGATCTTGGTGGCAAGAGTTCATAGCTTTGTTAGGAAATCCTTCATGGGACTCAGTAGCTCCTTAGCAACATGGATTTTTGTCACTGTACTTTTTGCTTTGTATATCTTTTTAAAGTTGATAAGATCTATTCACTGGTATATCTTTGGCTTCAAATTCATGGGAGTGTTTATTAATTGCAATGAAGCAGGAAATGATGGAGTGATAGACCCAAAGCACCCTTCCACTGAGCACATGCTTGAAGAGCCAGAATCAGCTCTCCCCTTGGTGACCGTTCCTGCCCCTGAATATAACAGAGAAAATGGGGTAACATGGGCATCTTCACTTGATCGCTTTGAGTTGCCTCCAAAACCATTCCACCCTTCCAACTGCTCAGAGTCACCATGTGTCTCCGAATCTGGCTCTGACATCTTCAGCAAAAGGGAAGTGATTCATAAGCTGAGGCAGCAATTGAAGAGGAGAGATGACATGATTCTGGAAATGCAGGATCAGATATCCGAGTTGCAGAATTCTCTCAATGCTGAGTTGGAACAATCTACTCATTTGCAGGCACAACTTGACGCTGCAAATAGGAACTTGTTCGATTCTGAGAGAGAGATTCAAAGACTGAGGAAAGCTATTGCAGATCACTGCGTTGGACATGTGGGTGTGCAGGAGAAGAATTCGACAGCCCCAGTATGGCCACCAGAAGTGATAAATGGCCATGCAAATGGGCATGTTGATGTCGAAGACAATTTTGCATCTATTGAGAAAGCGAGAGATATGGACAAGATTGAGATGTTGAAGAAGGAAGTCGGAGAGTTGAAGGAGGTCATAGATGGGAAAGAGTATCTGCTGCAGAGCTACAAGGAACAGAAGGCAGAACTTTCTTTGAAGATTAGGGAGTTACAGCAGAGATTAGATTCTCAGCTCCCGAGTATTTTGTAGGCAATGTCGTCACTTGTGCATATCACTTTAGTTTTCTTTTTCCGTGCTTCGGAACTTGAGGTTTCCAGGATTGCCAGAAGCATCATATTTCTCCTCATTTCTTTTTATCTTTTTCCATCCTTGGGTGATGTTTTTATTTTGCGTTTGCTCTTGTGCAGCTGCGTAGGAGATAGAACATAGGTTGCTCCTTTTTATCCCTTTTATTTGTCGGTTCTTGTTTTCTTATTTGGAGCAGAAAGAGAGCAGACGGTCTGCTTTGTGCACAGTTGAGATTCTAAGTTTGTGGGAAGGTCGCCTTAATTTTTATGGTATCGTAATATCCCAAGTTATTGTGGCTACAATTACAAGCGATGCTATTTTACTCGGCTGACGAGTTATAATGGTTGAATTCCCTAAGCGAAGCACAGGGAATTGCAAGTACATACAGGATTGGGAAGAATTCTTGCACAAAAATGAGAATTTGGATCAAATGTCCATGAATTAAGCCAACCTCTTGGTTGTAGTCTGTCTATGCAGCTCACGCATTCAATGTCTTCAAGTTACCGGCTAATGTAGAAAGGGTGTCCAAAGCTGAAATGGGAGAACTGTTTTAATGCGCGGTCATCCTATTGCCGGGGACAAAGAAGAGCTATTACAAAAGATTCTTTTATGCAGAAAACGCCCGTATAGTAGCGATTTGTTGAGCCACAGCTTGTGCGCGTTCAAGATCGGGCAGTCTGGCCACGCCACCCAGACCGCCTTGGTCCAGGCTTCCTCAGAGCATCCTCGGAATGACTTGTTGAAGGGGGAAAGCGGACCCAAACACAGCGATGGACTCAAAAAAAGAGAGGTGATCATGCAACTTGACTTCCCTTTGTAAATATGGGCAACATATGATACTCAAATCGCTTTGCCTAGCTCTTTTAGTGGCTAGAACATTGACGGGCAGATCCGAAGAGCGAGAAAGAACGCACCGATGCTCAGATCCTCACCTTGCCACCAAGTCATCAGATCTTGTTGTAGGCCAATGCCAATTAAAATCTGTCATAATCTCATTGACTTTAGCGGAGATGGACGAAGCATATGCTCAAATCATGCAGTGATACTCAAATCATCGGCTTTCCACCAAATAAACAGATGTTGCAGCAGGACAATGCCAGCTAAAATCCGAGATGATTTTAGCAACTTTAGCAGGGATGGACAAAGCAGCGAGGAGGCAGTCCAAGGATAAGTGGACTATTTTATTGCTAATTCAATGTTTAATTGAAGGATCTTATGTTGGACTGACCTTCAAAATCTTCCTCCAAGCATAAGTCAGAGCAGAAGTCAGAAGATAAGGACCAAAGGCTACTTTTACTCGAGGGGTAGCCATCGAGCCAGGTTATCTAGTGTAATCCCAATTTAAGCAAGATCCTCCGGACACACTGTTATGCACAAGAATCACGAGTCTTTGTGAGTGCCTCAATTCAAGTTTGTCCGTGTCCCGGACTGTGATTCTTTCGTACTCGCGTATCCTTGTGAGTGGAGTTTGAGGTTATCGAGTGAAGAGTGAGGATGTAGAAGGGATTAATACAATTGGTTCGTGAGAGTGCTGTTAGGACGGTTGGTGCTAGGAGTTCTAAAGATGGAATGAATATAAATCCCCTCTTAGAAGCTTTGAAGGCTGGGGTTGGCCTAATCCTACAGATTAAATTACAAAAATGCACTAAAGTGGTCAAAAGGGCCTCCAAGTAGTGAGTTTGATCCGGCCCTTACTAATTAGCCAATTCGGTGTTCGTAATTCTAAGCTGGCAAGGTATCTGTTGGCAAGAGCTCATTTCAAGTCTCGAATCCAGTTGTTATGCCTAGAAGTGTTATGCGTGTCTCGCTTGATTGACTAAACACTTAAGTTATGTTGGGCATGATACGATCCGATACGAGGAAACTATTTACTGTATTGTTCTTTGGAACAATTATTGAATGAGGGTTGGCCTAGTGTGAACGATCCACTAGTCGCCGCACGAGTTATGTGATTATTCAGCGACCAAGGAGGCGTCGGCCTGCTATGACGGATGGTATCGGGCGGGATCCGCCGGTAGTTGAGTTGAGTCGGAGTAAACTTGTGGTCTACCTGATCCTATGAGGGCGGAGAGTAAATTGCCGGGGCGAGACGTGCTGAAACAAAGTGTAGCTCTTGCTTTGCTTTTAGGATGACAATGGGGGCATAGAAAAGAACCAATTCCTCACTGAATAGGAAAAACGTTCTTGGATCAATTTGGCAAATCTCAAAATGGGTCTGCTACCGTGTTATCAACAAGGGGAAAAACCTCCATTGGTTTATTGAAATCACAAGAAACCAAAGTAGGTGAAGGATGGTGATGCCAAAATGTGCATTTGGCGAAAAATGCCACACTCGTCAAGGAAAGCACAAGTGACCGAAGGTGCTGAATGGCTCTGATAAAAAAAGGTCACTAGTGGAGTGAAGTTGTTTTGTGGGCGAGTGTCCACCACTCATGCAAGCCCCAAAAAAACCGGGGTTGATGGTCAGAAGCAGCGCAGGGAAGTGATAGAACAACTCGCAACGAGGACATTGCGGATTTGAGTGGAGGAGAATGTCACAGATCGTAATTCTCTCGTACTCTTGTACCTTTGTGAGTGGAGTTTGGGATTATCAGGTGAAGAGTGAGGATGTAGAAGGGATGAAAATAACTGGTTTGTGAGAGTGGTGTTAGGATGGTTAGTGTTAGGAATTCTAGGATGAAATGAATATATCATTAGGACTCTGAAGGCGAGGTTGGCCTTCCATGCACAAACTAATCGGGAGATGATGCCGCTCTTCTGATGAGACCATGGCAGATTGGAATCAGTTGTTGTGCCCAGAGTGTTTTGCGTGTCTTGCTTGATGGATTAGACACCCAAGTTATGCTAGGCGCGGTACAATTCGATACAAGGAAGCTATTCGCTGTATTGTTCTTTGGAACAACTATAAAACGAGGGTTGGCTTGGTGTAAACGATCCACCAAGAGTTGCACGGGCTATTTGGCAACCAAGGAACTGTTGGACCATGACACATGTGTCATGATTCTAAGGTTTCCATGCACTATGGATCGTGTGTGATCGACGAAGACTAGCCCAAATCTTCTAGAGATTCCGAAATGTTCCCAGGGGGTCGAGCAATACAGTAAATGTACCATGTTCTAGAGTTTTCAGCAGTAAGTGTCGATAGTTGGTAGATGTGGAGATGTGATATCTACCACTCGATCTAGAGTCGATCAACGGTTGTAACGAGAGGCCCTCTACTATAAATAAAGGTCTCTCGCTATCATTTGTATCATCCAAAATAATTGAGCAATAGAATGCATTCTCTCACAGAGATTCTCTCTCTAAAATTCTCTCTCTACGATTTGGGTAAGTGAGTGAGCGATCGATCATTGAGAAGAAGGCTTGGCTCAGGCGTTCCAACGATCCAAGAAAGCCCAAGTCGCTGCACGGTCTCAATCCCAAACTATTGGCCCGTGACAAGTGATATTAGAGCAAAGTAGAAAGGAACTATTCAAAAAGATCAAGGAGCACATCAACCGGTCGAGAGAATGTCGGGCCAACAAATTGCTTTAGTTATTGTGGATGACAGGGCTCCCCAAGAGAAGGTTGTCCAAGAGAAGACCCACGGGAGATCCAAGAAAAGAGAAGTTTCGTCAAACACCATGTCTACTCTCAATGAGAAGTTCTCAAGGATGAGAAGCACCATGATAGAGTTCATCGAAGAACTCGATGAAGTTGTTGGGGCTAATAATACAACCTAGAGGGGGGTGAATAGATTGTCTGAGAACTATGAAAAATATTTGCGGAATATAATAAGTTCAACTTCAAATATTAACAGAAACAGTTTGTAGAAATCAGGTGCGTGATGCAGTTTGACAAATCGTGATAATAATGATTAGGTAATGCTAATATAGAAGATATAAAAGATTTGCAAGTAGATATATAGTGGTTTGATTTTATCCCCAAATCTACATCCACTTTCCAAACTAACAGCCGCAATACGGGCTTGATTGCATTTGTAATATGCTCAACAAGTTACAATTAGCGAGTGCTGATCCTTTACCAATGATAGATCACACTATCAGGACTCAGCTACTGCACTTACTTTTGTACACTTGATCTTTCACATGATTACTGTACGACAAGATTATCACAATGAAGATTTTTTGAGAGAACAGAAGAATATCATAAGGAAAGCAGCTAAGAGCAAATATTCGGATTCTACATTGTGCTCTCTATCTTGGCCTCGAAGGTCTTTTCCTAAATAGACATCTTCAATCTTTTCGTTGGAAGTGCTTGAGAAGATCAATTAGCCGTTAAAGATCCGTTGGTGCTGCTGTTTGGAGATGGAGCTGCTCACAAAGCCCTTTATCCTGAACATTTGTAGGCTACCTGAAAATAGGTCCTGTAGTTACTGTTCCGACGCTGACTGCTCTGACATTTCTGACAGACGTCTATTGCTGTTCTCCGAAAAACTTCCTGATTTTCCCATTGCAGATATCCACCTTTCAACGTCTATAATCCCAAACATCCTCACATGTTCGTTATTCAAATATCACCAATGACATGATGTCTCAGCACTAATACAAACATCATCAATCAGCTGATTTTTAAGTTCGTTGGTGCTGTTTACTGAAAACGTACAAGGACATCTTGTGATCTTCTCCCAATGTATCACACCATAGATATTACATAGTCCTTAAAGATCATCATAGTCTTTCACCTCATTTGTATAAGGCAGCTACTCTCACCCGATATTGATGCTAATCTTTCTGGTCCTTCCAAGCATATTGGCGATTTTGACTCTACCAAGCTGTTCATCTTCATGGTCCTTCCAAACTTTACAAAACATCCTCGTTCTAGGCATGTTCACCATCATCAGGTCCATCCAATTGTTCACTCGATTTTTGTACCTCCAAGCCATCACGAACATTCCCATTCTTCTCGGCTTATTCACCCTCGATCAAGGTCGTTTCATATGTTCACCATATCTGAAGATCTTTCCAGCTTGTAGACATTTTCAATTATCCAATATCTTGTTTACCATAGATATCGGCATAACATCTTGACAGTGGCAGAACATTCCTCATATCAGAATGTTTTTGTGGTATTTATGACAAATATCTGCATCTCGACTTGTGCATATATCACCTGGTACTCAACCAATACACACATTAGTAATCTTTGATTTTCTTTGTTATCTTCAAAACAACATAGGGGATTTTCCCAATAATTACCACATTGGTGATTTTCCCAACGGAAGTGAAAGGGTGAATCAACGAGGTCGAAGCGGCTCTCCACTACAATTCAA